GAAACCTTTAGTAACATGTCGTGTTTTTTACCGATTCACACTACCATCAGGATTGTATTTAGTGGTGAATATTCTTTTGCATTCTATTGGAATTTTTCCTGAAGTCTGATCAGTTAACTCCCATGTCCCATTCTTTTCAAGTGTTGTAATTTCTTCTTGGATAGCAGCATTCCACTCAGGAATTTTGAGAATTTCATGAATCGTTCTTGGTTATGAGGGGCTACTATCAAACTTACTCATAAGAGTATGATACTTTGAAAACAATTTGCCATATGAGACATAATCCTGTATGGAATGCATTGTGCAAGAACGAACACCTTTTCGTAAAATAATAGACAATTCAATATCAATAGTTGAGTAAGATATTTCATTACCTGTGGTATTCTGGGTGTTTGGTTCAGGAGTTGATTCATGACAGTGCATAGTTGATTCAGATACTTTACCACCATTTTGAGTCTTGTTCCTCTTGGTATAGACACGTAACTTGCTCACTATAGGTAATGTGTTATCAGTTTCTGTGACAAGTTCAGACTATTTAGTAGTTTCAGAGACTGGTTCTTTTTCTAATGTAGTCAATGGAATATGTAGTGGAGGGATGTTCACATCCATCAATTGATATTGCTGAATAAAATTCTCTCACTAAATATCAAGAGTGGGATAAAATAATTGGTTTTTAAAAAATGTGACATCCATAGTGTTATAGAACCGACGGGTGGCTGAACAAAAGCATTTGTAACCTTTCTGATTAGAGGAATAACCAACAAAAATACATTTAAGAGTTTTTGGGTCTAGTTTTCCTCTAAGATGGGTATGAATGTGTACATAAGCAGAGTAGTCAAAGACTTTAAATGAGATTGTGTGTAAGATTTGAGAGTTTGGGAAGGCTTGAATAAGGAAATATAGGGTGTTTTGAATTTAAGAATACGGGAGGGCATCCTATTGATAAGTTAGGTAGCAGTGAGAATAGTCTCTCTCCAAAGAAATTTGGGAACATTTGTGGTAAATATAAGTGATCGAGACACTTCAAAAATATGTTTATTTTTTCTTTCGGCTACACCATTTTGTTGTGGGGTGTACACACAAGAACTTTGATGGACAATGCCTTGATCAGTGAGGTATTTTCCCAGGTTGGACTCAAAGTATTCACATGCATTGTCAGTTTTCAACACTTGTATTGTTGTCTAAAATTGAATTTGAATTATAGTGTTGAATTTCTAAAAGATTTGGTCAACTTCAGATTTTTCTTTCATAAGCTAGACCCAGATTATTCTAGTGTGATCATCAATGAAGGAGATAAACCATTTTGTACCAGTAATATTTTTTATCCGTGCTGATCCCCATACATCATTATGAATTAATGCAAAAGGTTTTGAAGGTTTATATGTAACAATGGGATATGAATTGCGAGTATGTTTAGAAAACTGACATACTTCATACTGAAATGAACTCGAATTTGTATTTCTGAATAAAACTAGAAATAGTTATTTCAAGTACATAAAGTTTGGGTGTCTTAATCTATAATGCTATAACATAATAGAGTGGTCAATATTAGAACATCCTACAGAAACTGAATTAGTACATACTACACTTGAAGTTTGTCTATTTGAAAGAGAACTTGTGACAGGTAGAAGGTATAGTCCTGAGTTCTTAGCACTACCAATCATTTTTTCTGAGGTCAAGTCCTGAAAAACACAGAAATTATTGTCAAAGTTAACTACACAATTCAAGTCTTTACACAATTTGCTTACAGATAACAGATTGCAATCTAAATTTGGCACAGAGGACGGAATGTAGTATCAAGCACGATGATATATAGGTTGAACCAACTCCTGCCACCCTAGAACTCGTTCTGTCAGCAATCTTAATAGAGGATACTTCCTTACATTCACTGTATTGACGAAGGAATGAAATATTTTCAATCATATGATCGGATACCCCTGAATCAACAATCTACACTTGTCTTTTTGTGGAATTGGCAAATAAACTGAGTAAGCAATTACCTCTCTGAGCAACGGAAGCATTACCAAAAAGGCCTTTTTGTGAAAACATCTGCAAGAGAGCCTCCATCTGAGCTGGATTGAAGAGAGCATTTTCGGTGGGTGTAGGAGCAGATGATGATTCCTCATTAATCACCAAATTTCCATGATGTGTCTCTGTTCTCAGGTTTTTCTTCTCACCAGGCATACCATGCAGCTTCCAGCATTTATCACGGATATGACGGGGTTTTTTACAAAATTCACACCACGATCTACCTTTTCTTCCTTGAGCATCAGAAGCACAACTGGTGAGGGTAGAGGCAGTCTCGGAAGCGTGAGCACCAAATTGGGATTCGCCCAGTAGGGTTTTCTTCTGGGCAGCAGGAACCGAACCAGTCTCCGCTGAGTTCGGACCAAAGAGAGATTCACCCATCATGATTTTCTTCCTGTTCTCTTCACGACAGATTTCTGAAAACGCTTCTTTGAGACTTGACAACGGTTTGGTGCTCAGAATGCGTTCACGGACTTCATCTAAATTCTTATTGAGACCCATTAAGAATTTGAAGATTCGTTTGTGTTCAGTGATGGATTTGAACATTTTTGCATCATTGGGCCAACTCCACTGGAGTTCTTCAAAGACATCGAGCTGTTGCCAATTGCGGGTGAAGATGTTGTAGTACTGAGTTACAGAAAGCTCCCTCTGTCACAGGTTGTGAAGATGAGTCTCTATTTTGAAGATTGTTGATGTGTTATCATGGCTGGAGTAGAATTCGCGTGCGGCAAACCAAGTATATAAGCGGTTTCATACAGCAAAAAAATTTCTCCAATCTCATTTGTTATGGAGTTTACCAGTCATGACATAACGAGATTATTTTCGACTTTCCCCACACGAGCTCCTGGGTCATTGGCTGGAGGCGAAACGAGTTCTCCAGTGAGGTATTCTTCTCTGCCCTTTCCTCGAATGAACATCAAGACCAATGATTACCATTGGAGATAGTTGCTTCCATTCAGCCTATGTCCAGTGATGAATGAGGGTGTCTGATCAACGAGTGAGTGGTTGACCGGTATGGAAAGGTAGAAACCCGAAAGGACTTCGGGTGGAGAAGAGGTCTGCTCATCCGTGGCCATTTGGCGTGATTTGGATGATGATTTTTGATCAGGATTGCTCTGATACCATGAAAAAATGAAGGAAGAAGAATTTGAACAAAGTGAAGAGGAGAATTCCTTTCACAGTTTTCCTTAATTTTCACGGACACAAGAGTGTTATTATATAGGCACCAACCCAGACCAAAGAGGTTACAAAAAAAATTCTAACAAGTAAGTGGAAGAGGAGAAAAATTGGTTGTTAAGGTGGAGGGCATACCCAGCTGTCATAACAACTAAAAACTGGAAAAGACTAAGTTACCCTTTACATATATATGTAAATATATATACATTTTACAGAGATGTTAATGGGAGAGTAAAGGTTGAAGCTCCTGATTTTGATGGAAGAAGAGACCCCACTTTCTTTCTTAATTGGTTTGATTCAATGGAAGAATGCTTCAACTGGCATGATATATTAGAGGCACGAAGAGTTTGGTTTTCCAAGATGAGCAGGTTCGGCTTGCAAAAATATGGCGGCACACTAATGATGAAAATATAACAAGGAGGAGGCACCTAACAATTGAAACATAGGATGAGATGAAAATTATTCTTTGTAAAAAGTATTTACCTCCCAACAACTTTTACAAACTTTTAAAACCAAGTTTTTACTTTAGTCCAAGATAACATCTTTGTAGCTGAGTATATATAGAAGTTTGAAGAGTTAAACATTCAGAGTCAAGTTGTCGAAGATAATAGTCAAACAACATCTCAATTCAAGGCAGGACTAAAAGTTGATATTAAAATAGAGTTAATTCGACAACCTCCAGCAACTATAGCAAAAACATACCAAGTGGCCCTTGATGTGGAAGAAAATTTGAAATACCCAATCCCAAAAAACATTGTGGAGCACACTCCTAATAATATAATTCAATCAGAAGGTGAGTTGAAGAATGAATCAATATCAAATTTCAAAACTCCTAAAGGTAAGGAAGTTATGTGCTTTAGATGTGGGCAAGTGAGCACATGAATTACGAATGCCCAACGGAGATTAACGTGCATATTGGAATAAAAGAAAATGAAGAGGTGCAAGAAAGAGATGATGGTTATGTATCCAACGAGAATTGATGTTTACCTCCTAATGAACAAGTACATCTCTTTTGTTAAAGTGCATATCATCAAATTCCAAAGTGGAATAGTAAGAAGATGCAATATGTCTTTTTGTTGCTCAAGTCTTTCCCCCAAGAGTTAACTCTATGGATGGGCAAGAAGAACGATTACGTCGTCGTGTCGTTCAATATCTTTCCCTAAGATTTACCTCTATGGATGGGCAAGGAGAACGATTACGTCGTCCTATTGTTCAATATCTTTCCCCAAGAGTTAACTCTATGAAAGTTCCATTCAATAAAAGATTTGGCATACCGATTGGTCAACATGTTGATTTCATCATCCCACTAAGATTTGATATTCCTAAACAATTGCACATTTCTACTATTTTAGGTGTTGGCTAGAACAAACTAAAAACAAAGGTTGCTAAGTTTTCATGGAAAGCTCAAAAGTTGGTTTTACATCATTTGCCCATTTAAAACTCATCAATGAGCTTTCTACAATTAGAGAAGGAGAATGTAGAATGTGCTAGCATAAGATTTCCCAAATAAATTAGAAATTGTAATTATATTAAATATAAAACGACTATATTAATTTGAAATTTATTATTATATTATTTAGAAGTATTATTAGTTTTAGTAATTTAGGCTTTCTGTTCTTATTAGTATTCCTAATATTATTAATATTCGTTTCTTATTCTTATTAGGATTATTATTCTTAATTCTACTAGTTTATTGTTTATTACTTTAATTCTATTTAGGAAAATTTATTTAGAGATTATTATAAATAGGTTTGTAATTTCATTTATTGATAATTTATTTATGCAATCAAATCCTTAATTGTGATGCTTAATACTTCTTAAGTTTGATGTCTAAGAAACAATAGGTGTGATGTTAGGTTTTCAACCCAAATCCTTAATTGGACAAATCAACCCTATTTGTCTTACATCATTTTGCAACTTCTAAGGACATCTGTAACAAATTTCCATATGTGTCCCAATAATAAATTACAAGCTTCACATCACAATACACTTAACCTTAATAAGAGTTCTTAATAGAAAAAAGAATACCATGAAATTGTGTGAGGTACATATAGCGGCTTGGTAATTAAAAGAAATCTATCAGTTCTTGAGACACTAGATTAGTATTAATGCGAGTTGCGATGATAAGCTCACCTACCAATTCATTGGTTGTGTGCTTTGAATGAAATATAGGATAGCATTTAGAGAGACAACTCTTGAACAGCATGTGTAGAAGAAGTATCTAGCATTCACATTCGCCGTCTTAATGGCACATTCTTATTTTAAGTGTCTAGTACACTCAAAACTGAATTCAGAGTATATCTTTGAAAGCTAAAGTAGTGGGTATGATCACCGCTGGAGTTGTCTGAGCCTTTTGATGGGGTGGTGTAGCCACCTTGAGGTTGTGGTTGGAGTTCTGAAGAAGACTGATGGTTTTTGGGATTACTATTTGCTGTATTTTGTTGAAGGATTATCCCATAGGCACCTGGATCATAGTTCATTTTGGTTCACCGCACAGGACGGCTCTGGTTGGCTATTTGTTTTGGTATACTGCGATAGGGGTAAGTTCATACATTGATTATTTTGGATATGAGTTATGCTGTACCCACTTTAGAGTATTTATGGTGGTCATTATATATTTACATTTAATACATATGTTATACATGCACTTGAAGAAATAGAATAATGCCTAAAATCACATTGGTAAAAGAAAATCTAAATAAGTAGTTTAAAAGCATTAAAATACCAAATATTCAACACATTTAGAATCTAGCTACTCTGTCATGGTTTTTCCATATAGTACAAAGAAGCAAAAATCTGTAATCTTTGCTGCCTTTCTTCCGTAAATTGTTGAAAATGTATGATTTCTCATCTTTTTTTTTTACTTGGTTCCTGGTTTTGCGTGACTGAATAGCAAATGAACCGTGTTTCGTATCACAAAATCCAGATCAGTGTTTCAAGGAATTCTGTGATCCTGGTAAAAATGGTTCATGGTAAAGGTTTTGGGCTGGCCACTTGATATTTTGATCAACTTGTTTTTGTGAATTCCTTTTTGATTTCTTGGTTGCATTTCATGCACATTTGAATTATAAAATCATATTCCCAGTAACTAATGAAATTCATCTGGATAAAGAGCTGTTATTTCTGTAATATAACATTGAATTAAGAAATTAGCATTGGTAGTGTTGGAGCCAATTCGTGCATGAGATATACATGTTTATAACCGTGCGCATCTGCTGTCTCCATTCATATGAAACAATATTCACATGTTGGTACACAAGCATTTGTCATTTTGCTTTTTTTTTTTTGGGTTACTTTATTCAGAAAAAATGAAATTGAACCCCGTCTCTTTGTACTCTCCTTTCTCTCATTAATAATACTTCTTTGTTTATATAAAAAGGTGAAACTGAATCAACTCTGAACAATACTTTGATGTTGGACAAATAGGATTTATTTATCTACTTAGAAATTTAGATGTAAAAACCTTGACATGGCACCCAAGATTTCTTGAACATCATCTTAAGAAGTTTTAAATATCAAATTTAAGGGTTTAGTTGCATTGCAAAACCAGGAAATTGAAAAACTCTGAAAGTATTTTTATGAATAACTGAATTTTATATCAAGAATTAAAAATTAGAAAGATATTTATATTGTTTCGCAAGTAATTTTTATTAAATAGGATTAACTAAGGAAAAGTTTTTTTTTTTAAATAATACTATAGCATACTAAAACTAATTAGTTTATTTTTTCTAATAAGATAGGGAACTAATTTATTTTAAAAAAAAGATAGGGAACTAGTACTAAGAAGATTGAGAATATTATTCCTAATAAAATAAGAAATAATACTAATACAAATAGAGAAACTAAAAAACTAAAAAATAAAATCTTAAAGTTGCTGAAACTATAATAATAAACTTCTGATAGTATAATAATTTACATTTAATAGAATTATA